AACACAAAAGAATATGCAACTAATAAAACAATTATCACAATTAAAAATATTACAAGAACAATGAGCGTGATCAATAAATTTATTACTTTGTTATCGCCATTACTTATACTATTAGCAATATTTTCATCATCATTACAGGTAATATTATAATCAATTGTATGTTCATGATCATAATGATCTAATTGTTTAGTGCTGTTTTTGTTTTGCTTAATCTCATTGTTGCAATTTTCAAGTTTAGTAGCGTATTCTCCCAACAAAGTGAACATGGTCAGAAATTGCCAATTAGCTGGTCGCCGGTTAAAATTGCCGAATGGACTAGTGCAGTTTAGATAACCAATGTTATTTTTTTCATGCCGCCACTCATTTTTACCATCACCTTAATGGCAAAAATATTTGTCATGTACTTTAGTCATTTAAAATATGACAAAATAATTAAATCATCTTACCACAAGATTTACTTATCGGAAAAATATGCTCAAAGCCAATATCGGGCGAATGTACGATCTTACAATTGATATAAGATTTGTCAAAGTATATAATGTGATAATGATCCGGGTCACTAGTATTCTGTTTAATTCGGTACCACATATTGCGTGCCAACAATTGCCGTACAGGTGCCGACTCTACATTGACCATGTGGATTTGGTTCGCATTACTACTCAGGTAATAACCGGTCGCCTCATTCCGGATGGCGTACAGCTCTGTCGAGTCAAATGTTGGCCGCGAGTCGTGAATGGAGGCGATGCTCGTGCACTCACACCAGTAGTAGGCCTGTAATATTGACCACGTAATCAATATGATTTTGATCACCATGGTCAGTTAGGTGTTTTAATTTTAATAGCTAATTATGTTTAATGTTTTAAAACAAAATCACAATTTATAAACTGCACAATTTGTTTATTATATTAATATAATTTAACCATTTACCACCACTGAGTTCAATACGAACATTGATGGTCAATTAGTTTAAAACAATACAATGTGTGGACATTAAAAGTGATGTGAATCTCAGTTTAGTTGTGTCCGGGTGTGGGATATGATTATTGGGTATTAAAAACAAGTTTTAGTGTGTTATGTGAACACAAATATTTGATTGTTTGATCGGTTTCTTTAAATATAAACCAGTCACTAAATTACTAAACAATGCATTGAATGCAATCTCCGGTTCCCTAAACTTATACTTAAAAACTTTTAATACAAATTTAGTGCTAATCCAGTCTTTGTAATCCATTTGCTATAACTGTTGGAAATCACTTAAATACAGAATGTTTTTAATTCCCATTTCCTATTTTACAAATATTAGTTTAATGACAGTTAAATAATATAGTCAAATTCATTTATTTTAAAAATATTTTTACAAAGATCTTGTTAAATTTTTAACAATTATTTGATCAATAATAATATAACTTCCATTTATCCAAGAATTTTATCATTATGTCTGTCATAGTGCATATAAACCTCTGAATTGTTTACTTTATTATATTTGGTATTTATGCACACATAATAATATACAATTAATGAAACATTAATTATTATTAAGATCACTAAGAGAACAATGATAGTGATCAATAGACCTGTCATCTCGTTATAACTATCATTTGTATATTTGTCAATACAATCATAAATACATGTAATGTTATGATTATGATCATAATGTTCCAAAGAGTTAGTATTATTCTCTGTAATACTATTATTGTTGCACTTCTCAAATTTAGTAGCGTATTCTCCTAATAAAGTAAACATGGTCATAATTTGCCAATGGACTGTGCGCCGATCCACCATGCCGGATTTATTATTATGACTTAATCGACCACCATCATATGCTTCATTACTCAAAGGGTATTTACCATCATCTAACCAACACATTAAGAAACTTGTTTGTTTATCCGATTTACTTTTAAATTGAATTTAACGAAATGTGTTAAGTCACCTTACCCCAATCCGTTATATAAATCATCTGGTAGCCAATATCGGGCGATTGAATAATTTTAGCCACGTTAAAATTAGCACCAGAATAACCATTTTTAAAATATGTTATTTTATAAGAATCTTGTTTAGAATCGCGTGTAATCCGGTGCCAAATATCGCGACCCAGCAGTCGATTCACACCGGTTAAGTTTATGTCAATCATGTTTACTTCATTAGCCATTACATTAAATCTAATGTAATAACCGGTCGCCTGATTACGGATGGCGTACAGCTCTGTGTCGTTAAATGCGGGCTCCGACAATTGAATTAAGGCGTCGCCCAAACACTTACCCCAATAGTATGTTTGCAGTATTAGCCATATGGTGCGCATGAATTTGTTTACCATGGTAATTCTTTAGGTTTTGTAAATTTCAAATTAGATATGGTAATTCTATTTTATAACTAATACAGTATATTAGTTTATATAAAGGATATATAAATGATCTTTACTATAATACACAGACAAATACAGTGGATATAAAATGTATGGCATTCACTAAATTATCACCAACGTTACAAATGGTATAATGTTAAGAAAAATGTTTCTTAAGTTTCATAAATACAATTTTGTATCTTTAACAGTAATAACTACTTCATATACTTTAGTTTATTGCCGGTATATGTTATGAAATAAAGAATTGTTTTTATTAAATGATTATAATTAAAGTAAATATTTTGCTTATTATTGATTTCCTCCGGATTTGAATCGTTGACTGAATTACTAAACAATGAATTGAATGAGATTTCCTATTCTCTAAACTTATACCCAAATACTATTAACATTATATCCTATGCTTCCGATGGCATGAAATAAGTGTTGTATTAAGTTTTGTAAATCCAATACCCATAAGTGCTGGCAATCTCTCAACACTTGCATTGAACACAAATTGCTTTATAATATATTTAATTTATTATAAAGATAAGCTTGGTTTTATAATTGATTTAATGTATGTGTTAAATAATAGCGACAAACAAATTTATTTTAAGAATATTTTCACAGACTTTTAACTATTTATTTTGATTATTAAAAAAATTCGGTAATACAGTATATCAATATTATAGAATAATATAGATTCTATAGACATTATACAGTACATTTATCCAAGAATTTTATCATGATGTCTATCATAACGCACGGGATTGTTATATTTATTTTGCTTGTTACTTATGCACACATAATAGTATAAACCGAATAGAACCATCATGATTAAGATCATTAGGAGGATAACGATAACAATAAATAAACATATAATCTGGTTATAGATATCATGGTTATATTTATCAATACCATCATAGTTATATGAAGTATTGCGATTTACCATATAATTATGACCATAATGCTCCGACAAGTTAACACTATCATTGTGGCACTTCTCAAATTTAGTAGCGTATTCTCCCAATAAAGTGAACATAGTTAAAAATTGCCAATTGGTTGTACGCCGGTCATCATCACCAGATAGTATAGAGCAGTGTAAGCGACCTGTGTCTATACGGTAGGGATATTCACCATTATCTAATCAGAACATTAAATAAAGTTATTAATATATTTGCCGACACAACACCTTTTAAATTTAATAATAAAGTTTAAGTGACGTTACCGCAATTTAAATCATAAATAATCATGTAGCCAATATTGGGCGAGTTGATAATTTTATTTTCCGTATAACTATTAACATAATCTACTATTCTGTAGAGATTGGGTTCAGATTTGTTAACCCTTTTAATTCGATGCCATATATCGCGGCCGAGCAGTCGGCGCACACCCGACCCCTGTATGTCAATCATTTCATATTTACTTGTAATCACATTAGAGCCGATGTAATGACCGGTCGCCTCATTGCGGATGGCGTACAGCTCTGTGTCGTTAAACGTGTGCCCAGACAAGTGAATAGAGGCGTCGCCCGAACACTCACCCCAATAATACGCCAGTAATATTAACCATGCAACATAAGTAAATTTAGCCATCATGGTAAATAATTCATAAATGTATAACATAAGTTAATATACTTAAATACTGTCAATCATACACACACATCAATTAATAACTTATTATAATGTTTACAGAACAATATATTTTTGTGTAAATATATAAAGATTTATATTTAACTACAATTTTTATATGAAGAATGTGGTTTATAGACGTGTTCTGCCCCTCCCCCTTCTCCACCCTATATTTATTCCATGTTAACATGTTGTTTTTATTGAATAAATATAATTATAGAAAATATTTCTTTTATTATTGATTTCCTCCCGATATTAATCATTGCCTTAATTTCTTAGTCATTAACGATGGCATCCGATAAGTGTTGCATCAATTCCTGTAAATCCAATGTTTCAAAACAGTGCAAACAAATGATATTATTATTTGATTTATAATTATTAATTAGAATTAAAGAATATAAAAATTTGATTTATTAGATTTATTAATGCAAGATAATTAATTATATTTAATATATTCCCTTGATTTTAAATGTTGATTTACAATAATTGATAATTTCAGTTAAATGTACGACAAATTTGCTTTAGTCTCGGTAAAATATTTAGTATCACTTTCAATTAAATGTATAATTTATTATTCATTTTGTTTTAAATCTCTATTAAAATTACAGTAAAAATTTAATCGCAATTTTGTTTCTGTATTACAACTATAAATACTATACAAAAAAGTTATTAGTATATAAAGTGCTTCAAAAAGTGTGAAAATTTAAAAACAAATTTTGTTTTAAATCATTTTTGGAATACAAATTAATAAATCAAATTTCAATCATAATATATATAATTAGTTTATATAGAAATGGTATAAACACTTAAATTATTCTTTAAAAAAATAAATTACTTTTAAACCCAAAATACTTAATAAATTATATTAAAAACTCATTTAAAAATCATAATTGAATAGAAAAATAATAGCACTTCTATAATATGCAGTAATAGGCCGACGGCCAGTGTTGGTCCCGGACGAGTCACCGGTGTCCCGACACCATACCGGACACCCCGGCCGGCATCCTGATGTACTATTGTAACCCAAGCCATTGGCTAACACTCTAGTGAAATACCCCGTTATGAAACCGCGGTAAATCTATCTCCTCGTCCTTCACGATCACGTCTTCGCCCAAAACACTCACGTTTTCCATTCGGACCTAACATTTGGGTAACATTTTTAGTCAGATATCAATAAACAAGTGCTTCTCTCGCTCTCTCTCTCTCTCTCTCTCTCTCTCTCTCTCTCTGACAAACTGATTGCTAACCCACTGTCCGACGACACACTTCCAGCCGACAATAGAGGACTCGAGCCATGAGTGAGACTTAATGGTAGAGTCGCCGAGAATCGTGCACTTCTTAATACACACGCCGTCTTCGATCACCACATTTGGTCCAATGGTAACGTTGGGACCGATACGACAATTGTGGCCAATCTGTGCCGTCGGGTCGACCAACACATTGCCCACAATGCCTTTGGATGGCGGGCGCAGGAGTGCCGACTTGTCCGCCGATTGTCTCAATGAGTTCAAGTACAGAGACATACCGGTGAGGAAGTCCTTGGGCTGCCCGACGTCCATCCAGAAGCCCGACAAGTTGTACGCGTACAGGTGGCCATCGGTGGCCATTCGCGGGAACACTTCCGTCTCAATCGATGTCGGCCGCAACTGTCATATAAAAGTAATTGTATTAGTGTTTGAATGGTGGTAAGTATGGCCGCCAAACTCACCTCAATCCTGTCCAGAACCGATGTCTCAAACAAATACATTCCTGCGTTGATCTTATTAGACACAAACTCCGACGGCTTCTCCACGAAGCGGTCAATTTGGCCGCTCTTGTCGTCGTAGACAACGACACCGTATTTGGACGGCTCCTCCACACGAGTCACCTGAAGGTACAGACAATAGGTGTGGTTAACAATAAGGTAAAAACGGGGCGACAGACAACCGTCGCTAATACTGACCACAATAGTTCCCTGTCGGCCGTGGCCTCTATGAAAGTCCAGCATTTGTTTGAACGGAAAATCACAGATAATATCACTGTTTAGCACGAAGAATGGCTCCGAGTCGGCGGTCAGCAGATCCCTGGCCAGCGCTAGCGGGCCGGCGGTTCCCAACGGCTGTTCTTCGTGCGATATCGTGATCGTGATTCCCAACTAATTAATTACCACGTGTTAAAAAACAATACATAAATTAATGCATACAATTGATTACAACTAATAAAGTGTACACTAAATACAGTATAGTCTATACACCATATGGTGTACACAACACACACACCTCCCGCTCCTTCACTTTGATCTCCTTCTCCAAGAGCTCCGCCCGATAGCTGACGGCCAGTATTATGTGCTTCACATTAGCCTATGGGGTGAGTGAGTCATATCAACATTAAACAAGGTTAGTTCAATTGGTCAACACGTATCACCATGCTCAATTCGCTCCAATACCTGTACGAGTGCCTCGATTTGGTGACAAATCATCGGTTTGTTACAGAAGTCGACGAGTGGTTTGGGTTGCGATAGTGTCAGTGGCCTGAGTCGGGTGCCGTACCCGCCCACTAGTATCAGGGCCTTCATTGGTCGCAGGTGTTGACCTAGGTCACTTTACTATATGATTGTTATAATGGCAGTACAATTACTATTTAGCCGGCGTTTAATTGCTTAGCTGTTTGTTATGATAACATTTACATATGTTTACAACAGTATTGTGTGCTTATAAGTGACGTTACAGTACTTGTTATGTGCCGTACGTATAGTACGTCCCCCGAGAATAGTGTCGTAAAGTTTTGTTGATTTAATAGACGTTTTTTGTGAGTTTTATTTTATTCTGTGAGTATGTGCTAAATATATATTGTTCATTATAGCGGGACTTATACTGTAGTATAGTTGTAGTGTAATTACAGAATATTCTGTATACTACGTGTATCTTTGGTATTATATTTGCTAAATTCAACCCATTTTTTCATACAATTAGGCAATTATTATTACATCTCATCTAGAATATTATGTAAAATATTTATAATTAATTAAATATTTAGTTATATATAGTTATGTATAAAATTACTACATGAATAATGCACTCATTGAATTAATATAACGACAAATATTTCACACCAATATCAACATGTATAATTATAGTGCAATATTTTGTCACATTTACAGTATTCTCTATAAAATAAATGAAATGTTATAAGCATGTACTATATTTAGTCCGGCTTTTATCTACTGATCATTAGCTTATTTATATGTATTAACTATTGAAACGAGAGTCGACTGTAAACCTTAGATATGCGCTACAAATATCTCTCATATAGTTTGGCCTAAAAACTAGTGCCAAGACTTATGGGCAAAAAAAAGTGCAGCACTTTATAAATACGCCCAAAAATATGCATATTTTTTTTATATAACAAACAAAATGGTATTTTAAAGCCTTTAGATAAATGTAATAATACAGTGAAACTCAATATATGAATACACAGTACAGCCAGTAGTCGACCCCAAAAAAGGCACAGCCCTTACGGGAGAGCGCATACACTACACAGTATATACAGGGGAGTCACCAGAGGTGCACATATAGCACAAACTGAGCACAACTTTCAAGACCCCCGCTAACCCCAGGGGGTGGTGCGGATCAGCTACTCGTAAGGGAAATGTTATGCAATGGTGAGGGTCTGGATGGCAGGCGCGCATACACACCCGGAATATACACACACCAGCCCTCTTACACTAAATAAATAGGGTAAAATTCCTGGCATACACGCTATATAAATAGTGCTGTATGTGTGTTGGGGGAGACAAACATGGTTATTTTGCACATACAGTACACACAACTCCCCCATTCTTTAGGCATTTTGAAGCAAACAAACCTGTTTTTAGGCCATAATTCTTATGGAGAGCCCCGGGTATGGCATACAATAGCTAGTGCTGTACAATATAGTTGATGCATATTTACCATAATGTAGTTTATTGTTATTGTTATTGTCTGGAACTGGTATTTCTTATAATCACCATTATAGTATGCGATGGTGAAAAACACCCAACATGATAAATAATAATTGTATATTTTTTAGTCAGCACAAAATTTGTGTTGTAATGTAATGACAAGCGGATTAATGTGTGACACAGAATATGCATGTTGGGTGTTTTATTTTTTTGTCTAGTCGCACAGTTTATTAACTTGTTAAAACTAGCTTAACTACTTATGTGATAAACACCATGGCCAACAGTGCGTCGAGTTTTACCGAGTTTTGGGCACAGATATCGAGAACAATTCAACAGAATAGTCGGCTTAAACAAGGTTGATTTACATTATGATCATTTTAAAGTATTCTCAACCTAATTGTTTTATTTGTTTGGTTGTTGTTTAGCTAATTGTAATGACAAATCAGTGGCCGAGTTATGGCCATCGAGTGATGGCTGCGATGAGTCCCCAGAGGTCGTACATCACGGGCGCGGCGGCCGAAGACATGATACTCGCGATGATAGCGATCAGCAGCTGAAGTGTGGCGACCGTACGGCACGTCTTAAACAACTGATGACATTAAACGAAATGTACAAAAACGCGAACAAACTCTTTGAAAAGCCAGTGATCGCCAGAAGTGCCACCAATTGTCTGTCCGAAGACCATAATAAGCACCGCCGAAGACAGTCAGGACTGTGTGCCGACAGTTTTACTGACACTCAAGACTTGGTCCATCACTTGAAGACTCGCCACCCGATCGATAGCCAGAAGAGTGCCGCCGACGCTGTGCTGACCACCGATGGCGGTGACAACGACGACAACGAAGATCGGGAACCGCTGTCGTGTCCCGTTTGCGGCCAGCGATACAACTGTCGCACGCGGTTCGCGAAGCACGTGAGCGCACACGACGAGTCCAATCGGTACCCGTGCTCTGCCTGTGACCAGACATTTGCCAAAGAGTGGACACTCGAGATACACGTCAACAGAGACCACAAGAGTGTGAAGCCGTTTGTGTGCGATCTCTGCGGACAACGGTTTTACGCCAACGAGAAACTGTTGAACCACTTGTCAAACAAACACAAACTGCCGGTCTATGAGTGTCCCGACTGTGACTACAAGACTAACAGCAAGTATAAGATGGCCAGACATAAGCAGATCCACTCCACAGATAGGTATCGTTGCGATGTAACCACTTGTCAAACAAACACAAACTGCCGGTCTATGAGTGTCCCGACTGTGACTACAAGACCAACAGCAAGTATAAGATGGCCAGACATAAGCAGATCCACTCCACAGATAGGTATCGGTGCGATGTCGACGACTGTGGGCTCGTGTTTGAGACCCGATATAATCTGACGATTCATATGAGCGCTCATAAGAAAAGTGACCATTTAATGGACTGGTCGTCCGATTCGAGCGGTAATTATTAAATGTTTTAATTATTACTTTTGATTAATGTTTAAATTTGTTAATTACAGGCAATGGAACCAAACAACAGATAGTTTGCCACAAAAGTGGAGAAATATTAGCAAATAATTACAATTTAAGAAATTACCGCAAAAGCATGTCTTCAGCTAATGGAAGCGCTGGTCATTTAGTTGGAGATAATTGCGATAAAAATGATGTAATCGACGACACACTGGAATGTAATTCAGATGACATACCTGTGACAGACTTCTTGGAATTGAATTATACAATTGAAGACATTGAGGACAGCGATGGCAAACAAACCGGTGATGAAGACAATGAATTATCAATCGATACAACCAAATGTGATAAACAACTAGAAGGTGATAATGGATTAAATGGCAGAACACAAGTTGTGATAACAAATGACAATAAATTACAGAAAGCTATTAATAAATCACTTCACAGCAGATCCGTAACGAAGAACATAGATTCAAATAATTTGCCACAAATGCAGCAAAACTCTACTTATAGTAACAAAAGCGCACAAACTTCGCGGACCCGACCATCAAATGGCCAGAAAAACCGTAAAAACTATTGGCCAAAGATTATCAACTCGTATGAAAAGCGTACAAACTCTTCGTCTGGTAGACAGCGTCAACAGTTCCTGTGCTCTGTCGAGGAATGTCTTAAGCGATTCACGAGCGATCACGAGCTTCGGGATCACCTGAAAGCGGTTCACAAACTTTTTCATTGCAATAAATGCGAGAAATGTTTCCGCAGTTTGAGTGGTGTTATCCGCCATAAGAAGAGATGCCACGCAAGCGCTCAACTGATCCGATGCCCATTTTGTACCAAAAACTTCTACTACAAGACGTCGTACGAGAAACACATGCGAACGCACGCCGAATGGGATCAACTCGACGGTGACCGCGATGTTGGCAACTCTAATAACACTACTGGCGATGATACAGATGACGATCGCCACCACGGGATCAAAGAGTCGGTCGACACTTATGTCTGCGAACAATTGGATGACAAACTGGTCACAAAGGAACAGCTGATGAAGCGTATGGTGAGTGCACACCAAACGCCGGCCAATATCTTCGACTATAAGGCTTTCAATAGTAAACTCTTGACCACTCATGTGAACCGTTACTCGCGGCCGAAGCCCAAGAAATCAACGAAAATACAACGAAACTTTGTAAACAGTTTATCACCGAATAACCAATTGTCAGCTGATCTTATCAGTGATAATAATGATGGCAATACCGGCGGTCAAAAGACCGCTTATCAGAAGACTTTGGAATCGATTGATGAGTTGAACAGTTATTGTGCCGATAATAGCTATGGTGTGGATAATGACGATAGTTGTGGTGATAGAGAGAGTACCGGTGCTGTCGATGGCGGTGGTAGTGATGATAATGGTGTGGACACTGGGAATAGCGGTGTACAGAATCTGCTATGTTTTGACTGCAATCATACGTTCAGCTCATATGATATGCTTTACAGACATAATAATCAAATGCATAGTAAAAAACATCGGCCGAGGATTAAGTGATTGGCCGTGGATTATGTCCCGAGACATACGGGTGACCGAAAATGTGACCGCAATTAAAGGTTTATAAACTATTGTTTTACTTAACTGTTGATAATTTTTATGAAATTATTTATTTATAGAAATATTTAATATATAGTTAGCATTTTTTTTTAAACTAAAATACTTATTTAATGTGTTATTTTAACGCTAATCTCATTAGAAATATACTTAATTTTATTAATATTTTTAATTAAATTAATAGTTTTAATTAGAAATAAGCTATTTATTATAATCTAGTAATATATACACGCTTTTAAACACTTGTTAATATAATAAATATGAAATTTAAATATATATTACATTTATATTATTGATTGTAAACTATTAATACAGAATTAAAATTAAATTAAATTTGAATTAATTAAAAGTTGTGTTTTATTTCTAGACATAATTTATGATAAAAAATACTGTAAATAAAAACTAATGCATTTTCAGTAAAAATTATTGTAAAGTTTGATCAATACATGAATGAAATATTTGATTGAATTGTGATTTAAATGACAATTGAATTCATAAATCATTGAATGAATGTCTGATTAAATTGTGGTAAAAATGCCGTTTATATTGATTAATGAAGATCTGAAGGGAGAGATCCATAGTCTCCACAAAGAGTTGTCATTTGAGAGACAATTGAATGAAATGTTAGAAAATATCGCAAAATATTCATTGGATTTGAAAACCAATTGTTTTTGTGAACGAAATAAACAGACATTTGNTGAAAACCAATTGTTTTTGTGAACGAAATAAACAGACATTTGTTTTGTTGAATGATTTGCACTCAAAATACATGACATTTAGAGATAATCCAAGACATGGATCCGTTGGTTATGCAAACACTTTGCACATGACTCGCAACACAATACTTGTGCCGCCAATCGGATCAACACATGAAATAGACACGAGTGAAGAGTCAATCGACGGCAACACCAGTGATGACAACAACGGATCAATTGATGGTTCAGATAATGAAGAATGTATTAACACATCGGCGGAAGACTCGACACAAAACACGAGACAATCAAACAAAGCAAAGAAGTCGACGAAGAGATCACTTCCCGGACAACAAAAGGATTGCATTTCATTAAAACGGTTCAAAACTGCGGCAAAACTTCTGACCGTTTGTGACAAACAGTTCGTGACATTAAATATTGGCAAACAATTGGCCACAACTCACGAGTCGGCGGACACCACAACAGGTGCTGTGAAATTGGCGGACAGTTTACCGATTGTGTCCACACAGTCATCGACATCACCGGTAATGAGTGGGCCATCAAAAGACTCAACACTTGACACACAAACACATAAAGACATCGAGAGATCAGATGATAATAAGAAGCCATCGATTCCTTCACAACAAACGCCACAAATGATTAGTATTTCACAAAAACTGACGACAAAGAAGTTGATCCAAAAACACCAAACGGTTGACAATCCGCTGAAGACTACGAGTTTATGGCCAGTATTGAGCGGTAATACTGTTCCCGAAGAGCGACAGAAATGCAATCATTTGTGTCGCAAGTGTTCAAAGAGTTTCGAGACATTCAGACAATTGTTAGAACACGAGAAGTCGTGTCCATCGGAACATCAATTGAAGTGTTCACTCAATACATGCAATCATTTGTTTGAAACTCCGGAAGAATATCTCAAACATATGCGTGAAATTCATTCGAAATACACTTGTATTGAATGCCAGCAGATATTCTCGTCACCGGAACTCCTCTCCAATCACCAAAAGTCTTGTAAACGAAATAAACAATTGAATGAATTTGAATCCAAACCACAGGGAATAGAGCCTCAACTCCAGGCACCGCCGTATGTGTGCACTCATGAGGGCTGTGGCCGAGAGTTTGCCGGCAAAGGCAGTCTCAGAACGCATGGAATGAGTCACTCGACGGACCGGCCGTTCGCTTGCGATCACCAAAACTGTGGCAAACGATTCAAAACGAAACAGTGTTTAAATAAACACAAAACACTGGTCCACACGTTTGATGGCCACACATACCGGTGCCGGGACTGCGACCACGTGTTCATAACTGGCACTCATTTGCTGAAACACATCCGGGAAGTTCACACCGAGTATGAGTGCGATGTGAAGGGCTGTCACTATAAGGCTAGATATAAACATAATTTACAAAGACATCAAAGACAGTATCATTGATTCAGTTTAAATGTTTGTTGTATTTATTGAATGGCTTTTAATAATGATTTGAAAGTTACTAATAATTATAAGTCTGTAATTTTGTAATTAATATAAAATATTATTATAATTAATAAATAGTGATTTTTCTCATAGAAAACAGTGTATTAATTAATAATTAAAGTATTAATTGTATTTATTCTTTGCCGCCAAAGAGTTTGAATGCATTGAATGGATGTTTGCATTCATTCATACATTAATAACGTTTGGGTTTTGGAGTGATTTTTGGTGACAGTTATAGAGAGTAAGCATTGATAGGGTTTCACAGGTTTTACACATTCAACA